AAGAGGTAATTTCAGAATTATTTCCTTTTTGAACTTCCATACATAACATAACAATAAAAATAATGTAACAGTTGGAAAAAAAAAATGAAAAAGCTCAGACTCGCAATCTTTCAAATCAAGCATGACTTTAAAACGTTATTTCAAAAAAGCAAGGAGGAAGAATTTAAAAATTGCACTGAATAATAAATTAATTATAAGAATTTTTTTTTAAAAAAAAACTAAATATTTAATTCAATGGAGATGTTTTTTCCCTGTCCAATCTGAAAGAAATTTTTTCTTTTTCTTTTTGTGCAATCACCAACTCTTTATAAAAAAAAAAAAATTAGAGTTTTTTATTGGAATATTTTGGTTGAGGATCGGGACGAATTTCTATGTTCACACTTGATATAGTTACATTATTCATTTACTGAAAAATAATATCTCCAGGAATTTTTATATAAATGAAAAGAAACTGTAAAAGAACACCCCACCCCACACACACACATAAAAAAAATATTAAAGTGTACAGTACTAATATACACGATAACAAAAAGGGAGACGTGTAACTGACCCCCGCCTAAAATATTTCCAAGTTTTCTAATAACCTAGGGTGTTCCGAAAGTCGCGTCACCCCTACAATTATTTCAGGGGTGACAATAATTTTGTACTATTCTGTACTTTTCATTCATTAAATTTAAATAAATCAATAAGTAGTGAAAATTTCGTTTAAAATCCTATAATTCTGTGACTTTTGGCAAATTTCTAAAAACAAGGTAGCAATGTTTTTGCCTTCATTTCGGAAAAGAAAAAAAAAAAAAAAAAAAAAACACACATTTTATTTAATTTTTTTTTTTTTTTTTGGTAAGCCCCTAAAAATAATTTTTTGGTCTTCTGTTTCCTTGTCTGTTTCAGCAAAAAGTGAGAAGCTTTAAAAAAAAAAAAAAAAAAGTAAAAAAAAAAGGTCACCCCCGCCCCACTCTAGCGCCGTGAGTGGACATAAACTTCAAAGTTGGATTCAAGAGGTAAAAAAAAAAAAAATCTACTTAGTTAAAATTAAAAAGTTATGAAAATATCGTGCTTTCAGCGCTTGACGACAGAACGATTTACGTAGGAATTTTGATTTATTTGCTGCCGAACTCAACAGGTGGCTATGAAAATCATATTTTCTGTCTTTGAGTTGATTTTTTTTTTTTTTACCCTACAAAGACTAAAAAATGTTATCGAAAACAGAATCAAGCGTTAACTTAAAACAGAAAGTAAAAGATTTTTTTGTATTAAAATTAATTTGTCAAATTAATAAAATAATTCGTATTTTTCTGTCGATCTAAATTTTTAATAATTATTTTCAACTTAAGGGATTTTTTTTTTTTAGTGTTATCTTTTTTTATTTGAAATAAAGATTTCACTTAAAAATTAAAGACTAGATAAGAAGGGCCACAGAAACGATATCTTTCTCAGAACCCAAAACTGTTTTCAAAAGTATATTTTAAAATAAAATACTGTCTTTGAAGGTTTTATTTTATTTTTTTTTTAAAATGTCACATCAAATATTGCAAAACAATTATTGTCAATATTTAATTATGTATCCTCTTGTGCATTAAAAAAAAATGGTAATCTACGGATGGCCAGTAGAAGCAAAAAAATTATAGTTTTTAATGCAGGCTTATATTTGAAAAATGCTTTTATTAAGTAAATTCATTATATTTTACGGTTAAGTAAAGTTAATTATTATTATGTACATTCTTTGTTAAAACGTACAATACATTCATAAAATAAAAATAAATAAATAAAATATGGCTATTTTTTTTAGAAGTGCAGCACTTCAATATTCAAACGTATTGTTGCTTTGTAACACTTCGCAGCTTTCTTATGTGTTAAGATTTGAAAAAAACCCCAAAAAACCAATATTATTATTATAAGAAAGAGCAACGATTTTTCTTTATAAAATAAAAATAAAGCGATAGATTGAGCGTAAAGTACCAAAATAAGGTTTCTTTTTAGATCAGTTTTTTTCTCCTTTTTAAAAATCATTTATTTTTCTAAATGAAATCCATGTTCACCTGATGTAGACTGAAAAAAAGATGATGAAAGGAATTGTGCTCAGCTCAATAAAATTTTGACGAAATCTCGAAATTCTGTCCAATGCAACGGTTTTTCGTCAGTGTCAAAATTTAATAAATTAATTATGAAGTCAAAATACATATGTATGTAGTCATAAAATATTTCCTCGAATAAGAAAAAGTACGTATAATTAAAAAAAAAAGTTACTTAACTACGGTACGTGCTTCTTTTGACAATAATAAAAACTAGGTTAAAAAAAGTAAAAAACCTCTTTAACTAAGTGTTGTTTTTACGAATCGGATTTTAAAATTACTGAACTGAGAAAAGAAAAAAAAAGAAAAAGGTGCTTTTTTTTTTTTTTTGCTTTTTTTTTTTTTTTTTTTTTTTCTTTTGCAATATGAAATTAAGTAAAAAAAACACGTTTAATAAACTCAATAATTGAAAATAAAACAAAATTTACCTTCGCTTTTTTTTTCTTTTCCTTCTTTTTTTGAAACGATTTGAAAACGGAATAGGAAACTTTTTGGTCGTTGTAGAAAACATCGATGATGAAACAATTGGTACAATAATTTCACATTCTTCTTCACTACTACTACTACTTTCATTATTATTATTATTATTGGGACTGTGATTAATCCTTTCAGTCAGGCCATCATTGTTTATATCATGGCTTATAAAGGAACTACTGCAGGTGACCGTATTTTTACTTAAACTGCGGCGCAAGGGTGTTGTTACCGTTGGAGGTTGCGAAATATTTACGCAATTTGCATGACATTCTTCTTCATCATCATCATCCTCCTCCTCCTCCTCCTCTTTATGATGATCTATTTCTTCTGTCACAGACATTATTAACCGGTGTGTCTCTTCCGTATTAAAATAAAATAAAATTAACTCTTTCTAGCGATAAAAACAGTCCCGTCCATCTCCCTTTTTTTTTTTTTTTTTCTTCTTCTTCTTGCGGGTCTTCTGGTGCTGTAGCAGATGAAAGCACTGACAATAATCGCTGCATATAAATTGCTACAACCCTGTCACTAAAAATCGTATTTAGTTACGTTAGTAGCCGAGGTTTGGTTGCAACTGCTGCTGGTGTGGAGAGTATTCTGATCCACACGGCTATCCGCCGTGTTATTTACGAGGTAATTGAACAGAACCGTCCGTGTATCGCACTTGACTCACTCGGCAAATATTACTACTGATATTAAATATCTGTTAGTGTTAAAAACTTTTAAGTGTCGTTGTCAGGCATTGTAAATATGTTTGGGGTAGGGAACGTGGATAGAAAGGTTATCGACCACCAATCGTCAAACTGGGAAGAACTCGAACCCTGATTTCAAACAGCAAACAAAACTGCAAAAGAAAAGACATTTGTGTCGGCCAGGAAAAGCAGACTCCAATTTAACACTGTGGATCTTTTCTCTTAAGTGTTAATAATTCAACTCAAAATAAAATAATTTATATTTGCTAAAAAAAAAATACACACCAAATTCTCCCAGACCTTTCCATTGCACTCTGGTTGGGTTGACCTTTGCGATCGTCCCAAATGTGGGCGACTCGGGTGCGCTTTTCTAAATGTGGGGTCAACGCCGCGCTCACTCCGATAATCAAGCCAAAAACAGATTTTTTGTCCTTTCTTTTTTTTTTATTTCTTTTTTTTTTTTTAATTGTAAAAATTTTTTTGTAACTACCTCGAACTTCACGAAATGTTTATAACTCCCTGATTTTTACTAATTTATTTTTCATTCTGAAGGTTGGAGTTTTTGCGAGGCAAGATAAACAAATTTTGATTTAAAATTTATAACTTTTTTTAAAGAGTGCCAAAGATAAAAAAATAAAAAAACTTTGATTTTTAAAATTTATAACTTATTAGGATGAATTATTTACATTATTTACAATTTTAAATACAGAGTATAGCCAAGTGGATTAAAAAGTGTTGGCTCATGAATTTGATGATATAGATTTTTTTTTGTTTTGTTGTTTTAATCATTTCACCCCAAGCAAGGTGATTATGTCACTAAGATGCAAAGGGTTACTGGAAGTGAAAGAGAATGAGAAGACTTTAATGAGGAGAAAGGGCAATAAAAGAACAGGTTTCAGGAAGACAGAAAATGATGATTGACATTGCATTTAAATTTTTGAAGTGTGCAGGTGGGGCAGGGAAGCAAGGAATTTGAAAGGAGTTCCACAGGTGAAAAGTATGAGAAAATAAATTATTAGAATAGAATTGACAGTTACATTTAGCTATTTCATAAGTAAAACAAATCAGATAGCCTGCTTGAATTCATACAGTCAGTGCATGGGGTTAGGGTAGAAAGTTCATCAGAGCAATTGCCATGAAAATATTTGTAGTAAGTAATAGTAATTGTGAGTTCAATCCCTTGGACTCAATGGAAACAGGTCAAGCAATACTAAATAAGAACTAGATTAGTTATCCTTAGACACGTTCAGCAGACCGAAAACAATCTAAGCCAGTAAATTAAATAAAGAGTTCAGTATGAAATTCCATGAATGTTACCTAGATTGACAGACACCTGATGAAGGCCAGAGGACACAATGGCCGAAACATCATGATAATAAAAACAAGATGAGGACAATAGTCCATATGTAAATAACTATTTCTTTATTTTTGGTTTGTGAGTATGCAATAGACACAAGGGTGGGCTGAAAAGTTCATAGCCTGACTATGATGGAGTGATGTTAGAGCTGTGAAATCTTGCATGTGTTAATTTGAATCATTCTTCTTATAAATAGCTGCATTGTTTCTTTCCAAGTTGTAAAATAACCACAATAAAAATGGCAATAGTAATTCTGAATTACTTTCTTAATATTTATCATTTAAATTAAAAAATGAGAGAAAAAAAGAAATAGGAAAATAAAACACTGTCTAATCTACGCAGTGGGTTCTTGGAAAGAGGGGAAATATCTTGGTCTACTTCACTCTCCAAGGTTCACTATAGGCATTAATATATCTGTGATATACTGACACTTTAAAACAATGGCAGGAATGGCAAGGATATCCCAAATAAATGAATTCCAAAAGTCAATTATATATAGAAATATTTCATATACAACATTGAAATACAGGTCATACTAAGATGCAATATATATATATATATATATATATATATATATATATATATATATATATATATATAAAGAGATATAGTCTTAAGATATGCTATATTTATGGGATAAAGTGCTCAATATCAGAGATAGAGTGTGTGAATATAAAAGTGAACGTAGAAGTTAACATAGAGGTGACAGTCTGTTTCATACTAGATGCAATCTAGCATAAACAGACTACAAAAGGTGGCCTGACGATTGCATCTAGCATGAAACAGATTGTCACCTCTAAGTGTTGACTTCTATGTTCACTTTATATATATATATATATATATATATATATATATATATGTATAATAGCTGGCCACTCATATTAGCAGATATCTGTCTACTAGGGTGTTGGTTCAACACCCACAGAGCCCACCTGTGGTTTACACTGCAACTATGCTGAGCAGACCTTAGTTACAGTTTCTGGGAGAGAGCATGTTATCTAGCATGATCAACAGTCTGAACAATGCCAGCGCACTCAAACCCTTGGTCACGATGACTTGTGACTTTGTGCTAGCCCCAAGTGTTCCATCTACCCAATTTCACTCACAAGGCTTGGGTCAACCCATGGTAGGGTTTTCAGATACTTTACAAAAGTGCCACATGCAGGGATTGCCCAGATCGAAAACATCAGGAAGTCTCCTTCCTGACAATTCGACCATGGTGAGATTTTAACCTGGGTCTCATGGTCAGAAAGTGAACGTTCTAATCACTCAGCCACGCACCCATGATGCTCCCATGTGGTGAAACTGAGGTAGGTAGTACCTGGCTCATTAGGATTTATTTATTTTATATATATATATATATATATATATATATATATATATATATATGTATATTGTCATCCATACACAGACTGTTTCATGGTTTCACAGCTCATCAGTGTGGCTAGATATCTGATTACCTCAAGCCAGGATCAAAACCTGACTGATTTGGTATAAATCAGAGATTTTACCTCTAAGCCATTGGTGCACAGCAGGGATGAAGGTGAATTTAGACGTACTTATTTTTAGAGAAACATGCCAGTGACCAGAGAACTCAATTTGTCTTAATGAAGAGTCTTTCATCAGCAGCAGTAATAGTCACTGTTTACAAATTCACTTTTTCCCCAAAGAGCTCAACTGAAATAATGTTTTCAGGAATATATATATATATATATATATATATATATATATATAGTAAAGGTAATAAATCCATTGGTATATAATCCAAGTGGATCCTAGTAATATAAAATATTAAGAGTGATCCACAAAGAGAGCTCAATGTACTTATCATTACAGAGCAAATAATTAATAAACAATAAAATCCCAAATCATCTCATATGGGGAATAGTCAATTTTGGCAGACAAAAATACAGATTGTCTGTCTTATATTTATCAATGCCGGTGGATCCACACCGGGTTTTATAAGATAGACAACCTATATTTTCATCTGCTAAAATAGGCTATTCCCCATATGAGATGATTTTAGATTTTATGGTTTACTTTCATTACTGGGAATTTTTACCATTCATTTAGAGCAGTTTAAGTGAAAATCAATATTAGTAACAACAATTGGGTGCAACTGAGGCACATCCCCAAATGGAGGGTTAACAATTTGAATGGTGGAGTGTCCCTGAACTGGGCTGTTTTTGCGTTTTCAATCTTATTTCAGCCACATACACAGCAGTAGTTGAAGAGGCATTTCTTCTCAGCCGTTGGGTTCTTTGATCATCATTTTCAGCCTCGCGCGTAGAAGCGTTCAGGTATGCTCTCCTGGAAAGACGATGGCTATGTTGATCTTCAGATTCAGTGGCTCTGATTGAAGCATTTCAAGAGGGATTTTGAGGCAGGCAAAATGAATGTTCTAAAGACAATTCATTATCTCTTATTCGCATAGCGGACCTGATGGCAGCGGTTTTGCGACCTAGGCAAGTTTTTTCTTTGGTGACATGTCTTAGGCAAATATGAATTGTCAAATGGAATGTGTGGGCAAATACCGGAACAGAACACTGGAAAGCTACAGGGATCGCTAAGCTCGAATAACTTTAGGAAAGGTTGAAAAATAAATTTTGAATAATAAAAAAGCAAGCTTATTTATTACTTATGGTGAATGCAATGCAAAAACTGGCAGGACAATAAAAAAAAATTAAATTGGGAATGGCTATAAACGACAATGAAAGTAACATCTTAAAACTGCAGTAGTAGGTTTTATGCAATGGAAAAGGTAACCTCACTTGGGAGAGGTTGATTGTTTGGCCAAGAGAAGGGTAATGTGTAATTTGGACTCAAAACCAGCACTGAAGAATTATCTATCAAACAAAAAAAAATTCATCGAAATCAGATGATAACTGTGGAAACACGTAAACAACATCCAATCACACACACTGTTGTAGAGTGATTTCACAGTGGAGGCTTGTATTCGTACTAAGTCGGTCCTAAATAGGTTCGACGTAC